TTAAACATATACGTAGATTTCGATAAGTTTGTAGTGAATTACATCATTACTTCAATGTCATAGTGAATTTTACGGTAATGTCATAGTGGTTTTCGATAATTTCATAGTGGTTTTCGAAAATATAAAGAGTGGTTTTCATGTTTATATAGTTGTTTATACAGAGTGGTTTTTATATTTACATAGTTGTGTATACATAGTGGTTTTCATGTTTATATAGCTGTTTTTATACAGAGTGGTTTTCATGTTTATATAGTTGTTTATACAGAGTGATTTTATATTTATATAGTTGTGTATACATAGTGGTTTTCATGTTTATATAGCTGTTTTTATACAGAGTGGTTTTCATGTTTATATAGTTGTTTATACAGAGAGATTTTTCATGTTTATATAGAGTGGTTTTCATTTAAAAAAGCTGGAAAGAAAATAAAAAAAAACCATTTAAAAAAAAAAATTGAAATTAAGAAAAAAGAAAAACCATGAAAAAAACGAAAATAAAAATAAAACCATTTTTTTAAATTAAAATAAAAAAAATGAAAATATAAATAAGAAAAAAAATAATTTAAAATAAAAAACCAAAAGTTAAAAAAAAAAATAAATAAATAAATAAAATAATTATAAATTTTCTTTTAAATCAAAATAAATAAAACCATTAAACAAAATAAAGAAGAAAAGAAAAAAAACTGAATTGGCGTGATGAGGGGAATAATTTTTGGAGAAGATTTGGGTGTAGATTATAGATATAATTTTTTTTTTAAATTACATAATTACATTAATTAATAGTTAGTGCCCCATATATGGTTTTTCAGGCCCATTGAATTTATCTCAAATATCATTTATAAATAAAAGATTTATCAAAAATTAAAATTCCAATGAAGGGTGTTTGGCATATAACCCCAGAGACAAAAGAGCCTGTATTTGAAAATTGTAAATGGTTCGTAGTAATTATGCCATATAAATAACGACTTGCAGTTATATCAACAAAGTTATATCAACCAATGGCTTTTTGACAAAATAAATTACGAGAAACCTCCTAAGGTAAAGTTTAATTATGAAAATTCCCCTCATATTTATGTAATTACAAAAAATTCCCCTGAGATATGTTACATCATACATGCACAGTCCCCCCATTGTTTTACCTTTGACGGAATCTTTTTATTCTATGGAATATTCCTCTAAAATTGTCATTTTTTACTATGAGGGGTAATTGTAAGTATACTAATTACCTAGGAGGTAAATTGTAATATATTTAAAAAATGTAGCTATTTAAAATTCTTAAACTATAATGTATTTCTTTATTCTTTATTAAATTAATTAAACATATCTTGTAACATTAATCTTTTTTTATTTGTTATCATTTTTTTTCGTTTAATAATTTAATATATTTTTATTCAATAAAATCGATTTTACATATTTTGGAAATATCGTATTTCTTATGTTAGGTTACTAATATTATCGTATTTTTATTATTTTTTATTATTAATGTTAAACAAATGAAATGCAAAAAGTATATATTAAATTTAAATAAATCATAAAAATAAAGAAAAAGAAAAAAGGAGAAAAATTGCAACCCAGTGCGATTAGAAAACTCATCACTTTTACTTATTTCTTTTGAAAAATATTAGGGTAATTGTCAATATATTATTTTTTTTCGTCAAAAGTAACACCGTAGGGGCCGGTGTAAGATGACAATAAGTCTGAGGGGGATTTTCATAATTACGCAAATATGGGAGAATTTTCATAATCAGACCTTACCTCAGGGGTTCTCGTAATTTACTCTTTATTGTTTTTCAATAACAGAAGGACAAAACAGATAAAACACATTTTCTGTGAGTTTAAAGATTAAAACATTGGTCAGTGGGAATTTTTGTAATTACTCAAATATGAGGAGAATTTTTGTAAATAAGGCCGTACCTTAGAGAGTTTTCGTAAATTGCCCAAATAAATAATTTAATATAGGGCAAATGGCAAATAGGCTCATGACAAGAGCACCTAATTAAAAAGGGCAAATAGCAAATAGGCCCATGACAAGAACAACCAATTAAAAAAGGACATCCAACTTTTTTGTGTTCCAAATAAATACAGTCCATTCAAACTTATTTGCAAATAAGTAAAACCCTTTTATATAAACTAAAATTACCCTCAATTCCTTGAAACCCTAATTCAAATCCAATTTCATGATTTACACCTCAATTTAACCTAATTTCATAAATTAACAAATTTTGACATTTATTCCAATTTTGACCGCCACCGCCAGAGACCTCCGGCATTGATTTTTTTTATTTTTTGTAAACTTGTTTTTTCTAAAAAAAACTTATTTTAATTAATATTACTGTCTTGACCTGCTATATTATTGTCTCCGACAGTAATTTAACTATCGGAGACATTAATTTAACTGTCTAAGACAGTAATGTTATTGTGTGAGACAGTAATTTTAGTGTATTAATTCATTTTTATCATTCTGACCTGCAATTTTGCTGTCTTTGACCGTAATATACTGTCTCCAACCGTAATATTTCTGTTTCATCCAATAATATTACTGTTTGGGACAGTAATATTAGTAATATTGTTGTTCGGGAAAGTAATATTCATAATATTACTGTTCGAGACAGTAATATTAGTGTTCAGAACAATAATGTTATTGTTTGGGACAATAATATTAGTTATATTACTGTTTTGGTATTCAATATAACAATCAGACAACAATTTTGTTGTTAACACAGTAATTTAGAGAGAAAAAAATTTCAAAAAAAAAAATAAAAGATCTAACGCCGGAGACCGGCTGTCAACGGGGGTTTATCGGCCGAAAAAAAAATTTAGAATTTTTTTTTTCAAAACGGAAAAGAAAAAAAAGGTCAACGTCGGAGAATCGGGTCAATGCCAGAATCTGGATGGAAAAAAAAATTCAGAAGAAAAATTATTTTCTGAAGAAAATATTTTAATTTTTTTTATGAAAATGGGGGTTAATGTGATATATTTGTTCAAATTCGGGCTCAATGTGCAATATTGATTAAGTTAGAGTGGAATGGGCGAAGTTGATGAAAATTATATTTTGGAGGGTATTTTAGACAAAAGAAATGAGGATGGATTTATTTGCAAAACTGTTTTTTTGATCTGGACCTATGTGCATTTAAGTCCCTTGTCATGGGCATATTTGTACCTTTAAATATAATGAGATACACCTTAGTTAGGAAAGCTAGTGTGATATGGATTATGGACCTCCACGTCATTAACCCATTTATTAAAGACAAAAGAGCCTCTATTTCAAAGTTGAAACTTTAAGCTTACAGTGATAACTAAAATAAATGAAGTTGTTTGAATAAAATAAAGGGGTTAATACGTTTGGCTACCTCGTACCATACCTAATTAGAACTAAACAACTTCAAATTAATTTTTTAAGGGCTTATTTTATATACACCACCCCTAGGTGCCTAATAAACTAGGAATAAACCCATGCAAAAAATCATCCTTTGGCATACCATCAGGAGAGGCGATTATATTATATTGCCCTTACATGCAATTTTCGGCCAAACTGCATTCAACATTTATGGTCATGCGTTTACCATTTTCGCTGATTTATTTATATTTTTATGTTTTTTTAAAACATGTTTGTTTATTTTATTAGTTTTTATTAATATTTTTTTCAATTTTTTTTTTTAATTTTTGTTTTAAATTAATATGTTTACTGTACTGAAAAT